GTGATACTTCTTTAGATAGTGGAAGATGGCTATCACATCTCCTCTCAGTCTCCTCTTTTCCGGGCTAAACATGCCCAACTCCCTCAACCAAATCTTCATAAGGCTTGGTTTCCAGACCTTGATCATCTTGGACACCCTCCTCTGCACACATTCCAGCTTGTCAATACCCTTCAATTGTGCTCCAGGTGTGGTCTAACCAAGGCGGAATAGAGCGGGACCTTTGATCAGGACACTCCACTTCTGTTGATGCAGCCTAAAATAGCATTAGCTTTTTTTGCGGCTGCATCACACTGTTGTCTCTAGCTTGTGGTCTACGAAAACCTCTAAATCCTTTCCACATATACTACTGGTAAGCCAGGTGTCCCCCATCTTAAATTTCGGCAGCTGATTCTTCCTGCCTAAGTATAGAGCCTTACGTTTGTCCCTATTGAAATTAATGTTGTTTGTTTTGGCCCAATCCTTCAATCTGTTAAAGTCATTCTTCTTGAATCCTGAATTTGTTGTCTTCAGCTCCCAGTTTGGTGTCATCTGCAAATTTCTTCATCCAAGTTATTTATAAAGACATTGGACAACAACAACGGGCCCAGGACAGAACCCTGTGGCACCCCATCTTGTCGCTTTTTTCCAAGATGACGAGGAACAATTATCATTTATAAGTTTCAGGCAGGTCTAATGACTTTAAACTGGTCATCACATAGTAGTTCAGGAATTGCCAATACAGTGCTTGCGATCACCACAAAAAGGTGTCAGTAACCATCTCATCAAATTTCTACAATGAATGGGAGACGGTTTCCTCTTCCTGTTCAGTTCCAGTTTTCTCAACCTCTCCTACACATCCTTCAATTATGTTCACTTCCATGAGAAGTAACCTTGGGACTGGAAAAGCAGGATTTAAAAGATGAGATATGACCGTTCTGAAGAAACTGATTTTGGCCATTTGAGCTAGCCAGGGAATGTGCACTTGTACTAGGTTTGAGCAAGACCGATTTAAACTGTTTTAGAATTACAAGCAAATCGCAGGAGTTGGCATATCGACCCATTTCTTAATGTCAGCAAGTTGGAGGTACATAGTAGCAAAACCAACACAGGCATTGAAGAATCAGGGCTTACCCCCAAGAAAATGGCTAAAGGATTGCAGCCTAAATCAGGCCTGACTGATCATTCAGTATCATAAAAATGCACATTTAAATTGAATCAACAAGATCCACTTATTAAAGGGGAGTTGATTGGTTAAAGGTGTAGCAACTAATCAGCTATCATTTACTAATAAAAAGCTAGGAGAGACATCAACAACTGACAGTGCAAGCCAAAACACATCTACTCAGAAGTAAGCTCCACTTGGCCCAATAGCACTTACTCCCAGGTAAGTGTGTAGAGCATTGCAGCCCTAATTTACTGACATAACCAGCTTGACAAACTCTTGCTTTATTTAGTTCTTCACAGCTCTAGTTCCTAATGTAGCTGAAAAGCTTCCGTCAGCTGTTGATGTAATACTGACCTCTACGTTTCCATGGTAGCTCTCATATTGCCATCTCTGTCAACAATCTGCTTCCAGTTCTAATTTGATCAGGCTCATGCTATTAATAGAAATATTCTGCAGGCAGCTATTCTATTCATCTTCTTTCAAATCCAAGGAATGGTTCTTGCTGAAAATCAAATTTTGGTTAGCACTATTCTAGTCAGGTTTCAATAGCTCATTGTTGTTCTACTCTCAGGAACAATTCACACTATCCTTGGAAAGGTTCCTGCTCTCCAGCCTTGTGTGTGTGTGTGTGTGTGTGTGTGTGTGTGTGTGGTTTTCTCCACCCAGGTTCAAACTGCCTCTTTTTCCCTCTCTAGCTACACACTCACACACAGAGCTCTGACAAGCTCATTTCAGTTTGTCATCTAGGAACACCAACTGGCCATCAGGATCCATCAGTGTGAGGAAGATTTGATCCAACAAAGTTGTCCTGTTAGTACAAGAACTTCTGCCTCCACAATGGGACTCTCCTTGTGCAACTCCACCCCAAAATCTGTTCTGGGGAGTTCCCTCTGGAGCAGATTGAGGGGGTGCCAGGAAGAGGAGGTGGGTTAGAGGGTTGGGAGAAGGTTAGAAGATTACAGAGAGGATAGGGGTGGCAGGTGATGCATGTAATTATCCAGAACAGCCTGGTTTGTCTTGGTAAGGAACAGATGAAATGAATTCTATTATTTCCATGTTCTTTTTAAGGTTCTTTTTTTATTTTACAGTGCATTTACGAGCAATTCTTTTTTCTGGGGATACTCAAGGCTACGCAGTACTGACACCTTCTTTCCCCCCCCCAAAAAAAATGTCAAAAGTGTGACACTTACTGTAACAATTTCATTGTGAGTACTGGCACGTTTTTCCTTGGGGGGGGTAAAAAGCACTGGTGTGTGTGTGTGTTGGGTGTGTGTAATATTTTTGGCCTGCTTTGGAATCCCTTTGCCAATGAAGAGTGGGCTATACTTTCTGCAAATAAATAAATAAACCAGATGGCCTCTCGCATCTCTCTATCCTGTTTGTGTGTAGGAGAGACTGGGAGCAGCGTTTTGCTGAATTCCTGCAAAAGGAAGAGAATTTCTGCGACCATTTTTCAAGATTGCCGCTCACCGTTCATGGAGGTAGCAGTTGGCGGAACACGGGATGGGCTCCCCTGCTGCATCTGCACTGCCCTGAGCTCCTCTCTGCCTTGTTTGCTCCTTCCCCTCTCCCTCTAGGTAACCAGCAGTGATGGACAGCCTTGGGAAGTCAGGTGAGCAGCGTTGCAATGCCCACGTTGCCTCAAAGAGAGAGAGAGAGAGAGAGAGAGAGAGAGAGAGAGAGAGTTTGCTGCAGTGATGAGAGCAATTGTGCTAGATCCTCAATGATGTTCTAGATGTAGCATCGTTCCAGGGCACTGAACCCCCTCCCCACAGAAAAGAACCCAAAACCAGTGGAGAATATTGAAAGAAAATTCTGTAGGGTGGCCTTCTCTCTCTCTCTCTCTCTTTGATGAGTAAGAAAAAGAAAGAACTCTCAGAAAAAATCTATGGTGGGAAATTGTGGCTCAGCTTTCGTTATTGTTTAGTCGTTTAGTCGTGTCCGACTCTTCGTGACCCCATGGACCAGAGCACACCAGGCACTCCTGTCTTCCACTGCCTCCCGCAGTTTGGTCAAACTCATGCTGGTAGCTTCGAGAACATTGTCCAACCATCTCGTCCTCTGTCGCCCCTTTTTCCTTGTGCCCTCCATCTTTCCCAACATCAGGGTCTTTTCCAGGGAGTCTTCTCTTCTCATGAGGTTGCCAAGGTATTGGAGTCTCAGCTTCAGGATCTGTCCTTCCAGTGAGCACTCAGAGCTGGTTTCCTTCAGAATGGATAGGTTTCATCTTCTTGCAGTCCATGGGACTCTTAAGAGTCTTCTCCAGCACCATAATTCAAAAGCATCAATTCTTCAATTCTTTGGCTCAGCTTTAGAATCATATAACTGTAAGGGGTCCCAGGGGTCATCTAATCCAACCCCTGCAATGCAGGAATCTCAGCCTGCTGTCCCCCATCCAATTTGAAACCAGACCAGACCCTTCTCAGCTTGGCAAATGTGCTCGCATTTTCATTGCTGCACCAGTGGTGTTAACCATCAGAGAAAGCTCTGAGAAGATAGATCTTTCCAAACCTTAGAGATTCCTAAGTATCAGTAGAAGAAAAGAACACAGGAACAGCCCTCCTCGAACAGCTCAAGCCACCCAGTTTTCCCAACAGCCAGCCAGATGTCTGTAGGAAGGCTGCAAGCAAGACTCGAGTGCAACAGCCCAGCTGTGATTCCCAGCAACTGGCAGCCACAGGCACGTTGCTTCTGAGAGCGGAGGGAAAACATAGCCATTGGCGCCATTGTCATTATAAGAGAACAAGGGAGGTGTTCATGGTGAGTTCTGGGACCTCTTTTCCTTGAAAAATAGAACTGGTGAAATCCATAGATCATCTGGAGGCCATCTGCTAACCACAAGTTCCTATTGAAGAAACACCAGCTGATCAACCTGAGCTATTAACACTTGGGTAGGCAAACCAATACCTAGGGGCTGGATCCGGCCCAGTCGCCTTCTAAATCTGGCCCATGGATGGTCCGGGAATCAGTGTGTTTTTACATGAGTAGAATGTGTCCTTTTATTTAAAATGCATCTCTGGGTTATTTGTGGAGCATAGGAATTCGTTCATTTTCAAAATATAGTCTGGCCCCCCACAAGGTCTGAGGACAATGGACCGGCCCCCTGCTGAAAAAGTTTGCTGACCCTTGTATTAACAGCAACCCTTCTAACAAAGCAATGGTTAGGCAGCAACAGCAAAAGTCGTAGTACTCAATCTTATCTGCTGCAATTGAAGAAAATGAACAGCATTGAAAGCTTTCACTTTCCACAAGGGGGAGACTTCACCTCACTGGATATGCGTTGTTCATTTCAAATGAAACTTCAGTGAATTTCTATGGAAGCACAACCAGAATTTTGAATGTATCAATTACAGGGCTTTTGATATGACTTCATTAGTTTCCCAAAGAAACATCTGAAAACATATGTCGCAAATTTGTCGGGTATGATTTTAGCTGCGTCTTAACCGGCAGTGCTGCAGCTGGATATCTCTGGGGTTAAAAGTGACTAGGCTACTCAAATTCAAAATCCATGAGTCATTGTTATTTCTGTTTTGGCAATGGGCCAGAACTTTCTGCACATCAAAAGCAAGATGTTAACCTTCCCTGGGTCTTTCCTGGGTCATCTCGCCTGCTGTTCACCAGCCTTGACTCAAGATTTGCCCAGGCATACATTCCCGTCAGTTCATGATTGCATTCAAACCCTAAATTTACCGAGGTTAAATATTTACTAATCTGGTTTAGTGTGCAGCTGTCATGTTGAAATCAATAACAGATTGGTGATATTATGCTTGCTATGCCAGCAGGTGCCTCTCCCGTAAATTAGATACTTACGTCAACAAAACCCAATAGCAGTCAGATGGTAGCCTTCATTATTACAGATTCGAACTTCCCTACGTACACTCTGACCCGATGCCATTTGCAGTGTGGCACCGATAACTGCTGCAGCAGTACGAGGCAATTCCTTGGATTAATCACTGCTCTACGAAGGCACAAAGGTAAGAGATGGCGTGTTTCATGACATTTGCAAAAAGAGAAACAGATGCATGGACAAGGTTTTTGCCTACAGAATTCTACTGTGTGACTCTGTATGAGGTTTTCTCATTTCTGTTGTGGTTGGGTAGCATAGCTGTCAACTTTTTCCCCTTTTTTTAAGGGAAATTCCCTTATTCTGAATAGGATTCTCTGCAAGAAAAGGGAAAAGTTGACAGCTATGTTGGGTAGTGTAAGACCAGCAGGATGTACCCAACTCATCAAAACTTTACTCCAGCTCTCATAGGCTGCCTCTGCGATCATCACCATACACACCTGTGACTGCCCATTCAAAGAGGAAATCTTTGGTAGACCCCCTGCTCTGGATACTTCCTGGGAAGAAAAAAACATCCAAAGTAGGGGTCTACCCAAGCTTTCCTGCTGGCCCGTTACATAAGAGTGTGAGGGTTCTCAATCTTTAAATGCAAATGATATAGGGCAGGAGTCAAGAACCTGTGATCTTCCAGACATTGTTGGATTCCATCTCTCATCAGCTCCAGCCAGCATGGCTGATGGTCAGGAATGATGGGAGATGGAGCCCAACAACAGCTGGAGGACCACAGGTGCCCTATCCCTGATACAGAGACACTGAGCTATATTTGTGACGATGCAGCCAGGATACACAAAGAAGGTGTCATACATATCAGGTGTCATCTGGAAGCAGGGGTGCCAACTTGAATAAAATATGGGGGGACAGGTAAACCCCACCCCACATAATCGATCACATGACATGGCACACACACACCATTTGAATGGCAATACCCATCAGCTGGGGGAGGGGGCTGGCCCCCTCAAATATTTTATGGGGGGAGCGAAGGGATCTCAGCCCCTAGGAGTTGGCTCCTATGTCTGTGAGATAAATATACATAGGTAAATAAAAAGTAAATACAGTGGTACTTTGGGTTACAGACACTTCAGGTTACAGACTCCGCTAACCCAGAAATTGTACCTCGGGTTTGCTTCAGGATGAGAACAGAAATTGTGCAGTGGTGCGGCAGCAGGAGGCCCCATTAGCTAAAGTGGTACCTCAGGTTAAGAACAGTTTCAGGTTAAGAATGGACCTCCAGAATGAATTAAATTCTTAACCCGAGGTACCACTGTACACTGATTCATGGGCCACTATGGTTGTGACAAATACATTCCAAATATAATTTCCATCTGAAAGTGATCTGTTCATGGGTTGCAAGCTTTGGCGTGTCATCTATCCATTGATTGAAGGAGGCTGTCCATCAAAAGGAAAAACATGCATACTTCCCCTAACCACCTTGAAACAAGAATATGGCATCTGCTGCTGAATTTTGCTGTGTTTTCTTTTGACAAACCAAGGGGAAATGGCCAGCGACTCAATGCCACCTGGAAGCTGGAATGTAGAAATCTAGTGCCTAAAGCTTTACAATGGAGGGGTTGCTGCTGCTATCAAGAGCACTGTGTATTAACAGGAAGGGAAGGAGGCACTTGAAAGACATATCACACAAGCTTTCCTCAGCCTGATGCCCTCCAGATATTTTTGGACCACAGCTCCCATCATCCCTGCCCACTGGCCATCCTGGCTGAGTCTGATGGGAATTGGAATCCAGCAACACCTGAGAGACACCAGGTTGTGGAAGACTGCGCAGCATAATCTCAACAAAGACGAAGGCCCATATCTGAAAGGACAGGTTAAATTGAAAACCAATCTTAGAAGAACCTGAAATTGAGTCTGCATAATTTATGGTGAACTTTAATGGGCTCTTTTTCTCTAGGTGGCGTGAAGTCACTGAAATGAAATACATTTGCGGCGAGGATTATTTAACTGCTTTGCAATTTAAATTAAACCATGATATATGTCTCAGAAATATCCATTTTACTTGTGTCTGTTTAGCAGGCCTCTGTTTTATTACTTATTTATTAGCTTAAAAGGTTTTAATTTTAACTTTCAATGGAAAAATTCAGAGTGGTTTATAATAAATCTGTTGTATCAGATGGGCATGGGATTATACTTAGGATTCTTGTGTTTCCCTTCTTTTTTCCTTCCTTTTCTGGTTCTTTATTATTATTTTGAAGTACATTAATTTTGCCCTCAAATCCATAATGATTACTGGGGAAGGAATAAAGGAACATCCTCTAATATGATTATATTATTCAGGTATGTTAACAGAGCATGAACACAGTAAGTTTAGACACTCCTTTTATTATACACCCTTGGATGCCATTTAATACGCTTTCCCTCCTGGAATCATAAAATCATTAGAACTGTAGAGTTGGAAGGGACCACAAAGGTCATTCCCTGCAGTGCAGGAATCTTTTTGCCCAATGTGGGACTTGAACCCATGACCTTGATATTAAAAGTCTCAAACTCTACCAACGGAGCTCTCCCCTATCCAACAGCATTGCCTTATATAGGCTTCTGACTATAAACAGAATGGCCTGAACTTCAGTTATGAGCACCACATGGGTGGTGGCTTGGATGGGAGTTGGATGTACATTTGATACTATATGTGAGATACCCTCCACCATAAGTGGTATCTCTCAGGGAACCATGCTGAGGAGGCCTGCACTGAGGAGGAATGGTGGGAGCCTCCCCCTGAATCTTCAGGATCCTGAATCTTCCCAGGAGCAGGAGGACACTATAGATTTGGAAGAGTGGTTTGCAGAAGGACATAGTTCAGAAGGCAGAAGCTGGGAAGTACAGTGTACCTTGGGTTACAGACGCTTCAGGTTACAGATGCTTCAGATTACAGACTCCGCTAACCCAGAAATAGTACCTCGGGTTAAGAACTTTGCTTCAGGATGAGAACAGAAATGTGCTCTGGCGGCGCGGTGGCAGCAGGAAGCCCCATTAGTTAAAGTGGTGTTTCAGGTTAAGAACAGTTTCAGGTTAAGAACGGACCTCCGGAACGAATTAAGTTCTTAACCCGAGGTACCACTGTAGTGGAGGGGGAACAGCTAAGAGGAGAAGCAATGGGAGAGAGAGAAAGTTAACAGACACACTGTCTCTGGAAAGTGTCCATCCGCTCAGCCCAAGGTCAAGAAGAGCAGATAAAGTGGCAGCACAGGAAAGCACAGTGGTTGAGAGATCAGGTTACAAGACGTGGTAGTGACGTGGGTGACTAGGGAGGAAGTGGGTGCACCTTCATTCCTAGGAAATGGATTCTTTGTTCCCTCGCTGTGATCATTAAAGCTTCTAATTGGTAAGAAAATTCCTTTCACTTTGTTCTGCTTAGTAAAGGTAAAGGTAAAGGGACCCCTGACCATTAGGTCCAGTCGTGACCGACTCTGGGGTTGCTGCGCTCATCTCGCTTTATTGGACGAGGGAGCCGGTGTACAGCTTCCAGGTCATGTGGCCAGCATGACTAAGCCCCTTCTGGCGAACCAGAGCAGCGCACGGAAACGCCATTTATCTTCCCGCCAGAGCAGTACCTATTTACCTACTTGCACTTTGACGTGCTTTCGAACTGCTAGGTTGGCAGGAGCAGGGACCAAGCAGCGGGAGCTCACCCCATCATGGGCATTCAAACTGCTGACCTTCTGATCGGAAAGTCCTAGGCTCTGTGGTTTAACCCACAGCACCACCCGCATCCCTTTGTTCTGCTTATCTTCTGCCAAAGGGGGGAGGAAGCCTATTCCCTGAAGCCTGTCATATCCATTGCCACTGATGGGAACATTACTGACTGCATTTAGTCTCACTGCATTTGGAAGTTCAACACTTAAATTGCTGATAATTTCAAAGAGGATTAACTCTTGATATACTAATTGATGGGCAAAACAATTCAACCCCATGATCTACTACCCTAGAGGTGGCTTTGATGAAGGAGAGGTGTCCCTCTGCCCAGCTCCACCAGTGTGAAGGGTCCTGCTCCACCTGTAGAAAGATGAGTAGAAGCTGCTGTCAACAGTACAACAGTATGCCTATTAGCAGTAGCCTTTTGTATGCTGCCTCCATAGCTCATAGATCTAGTGGGATTCGAGACCAAGTGGTTCATTCCTACTGCACAAATTTATGGGGGGGGGGGCGTGTAGCACATTTTTTTTCTCAGTTTCAAGACAAAGTGCCCCAATAGATCCAGGCATTTCAAGTCACCAGAAACAGATGAATATCTGAAAAAGCATATTGGGGGGAAATTCTGCATGTGTTCTCCAAATGCTACAGGCTCTCTGAAGGATCTCGGGCGCAGCCAACATTTGATGTCTAGGCTGATGTTCTTATAAAAACAATTGGGTGAAACAAAAGGGGGGATTCCTGAGCTACTCTGCATTTTTGCTGCATGGAACCATCCATTTGCTTTCAGGTATTTCCATTCATGGCTATTTTGAACATTCAAACACTAACAAAAGCATTTGTAAAATGCTACCGCTATGGAATGCAAGCAGGAAAACTATACTAGATGCAGGGCCTGTCAGAAAACAGTCAAATAAAAAAACTACTTCCATTTCTTTCCCTCCTTCCATATATTATTATCAGGGCTTTTTTTTCAGCCGGTACTCACAAGAACTCAGGTGGGCGCCATTGCCATTATAAGAGAACAAGGGAGGCATTCATGGTGAGTTCCAACACCTCTTTTTTCTAGAAACATAACACTGATTATTATTATTATTTATTTTATTATTTATTAAATTAGTATACAACCCTTCACCTTCTCAGAATGGTTCACAACATAAAATATATACGATAATTTCAGCAAACTATCCAATGTAAAAATCAAAAACAGCAATATGCCAGTAGATGACACAGATAGAAAGAACAAGAGTGTTCCAATCCAATTTGTTCAGATTTGAAAGTAGGGGTGGAAATGAGTTTCAGCCAGTGGGCCAAATCCTAATACCCCCGCCCCCAATATCTATGTGGGTCACTTTGACAGGTGGGCAGAGCCTGTCAATCACCTAACATTGCCATGATGTCAGCCAAAGTCTTTCCCTTTGCAGACCAGCTTTGTTTCAAGTCAGTCCACAAAGGGAAAATGTCCACTTGCCTGTTGGTTTTGAAATC